GATAGATAGATAGATAGATAGATAGATAGATAGATAGATAGATAGATAGATAGATAGATAGATAGATAGATAGATAGATGAGAGATAGAGAGATAGAGAGATAGAGAGATAAATAGATAGATATAGATAGATAGAGATATAAATAGTTAGAGATAGATAGGTAGAGATATAAATAGATAGATAAAGATAGAGTGATAGAAGATAGATAGATAGATAGATAGATAGATAGATAGATAGATAGAGATAGATAGATAGATAGAGATATAAATAGATAGAGATAGATAGAGATATAGATAGATAGAGATATAGATAGATAGATAGATAGATAGATAGACAGACAGACAGACATACAGACAGATAGATGATAGATAGATAGATAGATAGAGATAATAGATAGAGATAGATAGATGGATGGATGGATGGATGGATGGATGGATGGATGGATAGATAGATAGACAGACAGACAGACAGACAGAGAAAGAGATAAGAGAGAGAGAGACAGGTAGGTAGGTATGTAGGTAGGTAGGTAGATCGATTGATCGATCGATCGATCGCTAGATAGATAGATAGATAGAAAGATAGCTAGATAGCTAGATACATACATACATACATACATACATACATACATACATACATACATACATACATCTACCATCTCTCTGTCTCTGCCTGTCTGTTGTCTGTCTATCTATCCATCTGTTCTATCCATCCATCCATCTACCATCTATTCAACTTGTAGGCCACCCAACTCCCAGGGGCTGTGGGTGGCTCACCGCATACAAATTGCAAAACAACCTGCCTTATTTATTTTTTTAAAACCAGTTTTGGCTAAGGTAATCTCAGTTTGCCAAGACACCGGGGACTAGAAACTTGAGCATCAAGTACAAATCAAACGTGACCCTCGAATTCTCAGTCCTAACCTCAAGTTGGCTTCTTGGTCTGTTTGTTGATCCTCCAGAGGAAGCAAAACCAGAATCAGATTTGTTGGCTTCTCCAGAAAGTCCCCCGGGAGCTCAAAAACACGCTTGGATACGACACCTTCCAGAAGTTTCTGGACAACGAGCAGTACGCCACTCGGAGCATCCGGCGCTACGAATGGGTCTTCGGACCCACCTTTGTCAGCACAGGGGGTTTGAGCAGCACCAAGGTGAGAAACCCAGAAATGTCCTTCTTCCCAAACACTTCCTGTCTTGCGTTGGCTAAAGCGATGGACACATATTCTGAGTTTGCACAATACATGATGACTTTATGTACATCAATGTTTTTCAACCTGGGTTGAAAGCCACCCGTCTTAAAGCATGCCGGGTGGGGAATTCTGGGAGTTGAGGTTCACAAACCCTAAAGCATGTCAGCTGGGGGATTCTGGGAGTTGAAGTCAACCCATCTTACAGCATGCTGGCTGGGGGATTCTGGGAGTTGAAGTCCACCCATCTTAAAGAATGCCGGCTGGGGGATTCTGGGAGTTGAAGTCCACTCACCCTGAAGCATGTCAGCTGGGGGATTCTGGGAGATGAAGTCTTGAAGCCCACCCCTCTTAAAGCGTGCTGGCTGGGGGATTCTGGGAGTTGAAGTCCACCCATCTTAAAGCGTGCTGATCAGGGAATTAAATATTGGGACACTGCTATCATGTCACCCCTAGTTCTTCTTTTCATTAAACTAGGCAATCCTGTCCAAGCCTGTCCTGTTCTGAAGTCTAAACTAGCACCCCCCCCCCCCATTTTCTCCTAGGATCTGGTCCGTCAACTGGATTTGAAATCAGGTCAACATGTGCTGGACGTGGGCTGTGGCCTTGGGGNAGCCATGGATTTTTCTGCCGTTCTGATTCTCCTCTGAAGTCTCCGTCTGTCTTGTTGGGTTGCAGAGCCAAACTAGACAATTATGGAGGTGCAGATGACAGACTCAATAATTCTGTATCAGCAGCATCTTGGGCAGTTTGAGCTTCCTGAGTTGGCGCAAAGCCTGAGAATAAAACTGGACCGCAAGCAACAATGAGAATACGAGTTTATTATCTGTCTTCGATGCAATTTTTACACTTTGATTTCATGATTCATCATGAGATGGGATGCCTAGTTTTTTTTCCCTGCTGTCTTTCACTCCCCCCAATTTATTTTAGGAAACAGCCCAAGGCGTTTTAACCCTTCCTTTTACCGAAAGCCTGCGGAATACAATCAACTTCTCACGTCAGCCCAAGTGACAACTGGAAATGCCTCTTACGGGTTTGAGATTGTTCTATCCCGTTCAGTGCAGACCTACATCAAGGTAACAGCCCTCCCCTTCCTGCTTTCGATACCCTGAGATGGAAAGGGTGCCTCTGAGCATGAGCAGACTGTCTTCTCTTCCTCTCGTTCTGACACACAGACACAAAATTAAAAGGCTTTTCCCAAAGTGGGAGACAATCTATTCTCCCAAAGCACAAGGGAAAGAGACGGGGGAGCACCTGGAAGCTTAACAGAGAACTCGGGAGAAATTTCCTGACAGTGAGGACAATTAACCAGCGGGACAACTTGCCCCCGTAGGTTAGGGGTGCTCCTCCATCACTGGAGGTTTTTAAGAAGATATTGGACAGCCATTTGTCTGAAATGAGATAGATTCCCCTACTTGAGTAGAGGGTTGGACTAGAAGACCTCCAAGGTCCCTTCCAACTCTGTAATGCGGTATCCCCCCCCCCTCTCTCTCACACACACATACACAATCTTTCATCTATTTCTATCCATCCATTATCTATTGATCAATCTATCTATCATCATCTATCTGCCATCAATTTATTTATTATCTATATCTGTCTCTATCTATCTATCTATCTATCTATCTATCTATCTATCTATCTATCTATCTATCTATCTATCTATTTATCTATCTATCTATCTATATATCTATATATCTATATATCTATATATCTATCTGTCTGTCTATATATCTATGTATCTATCTATNGAAGCGGTATATAAGTCTAACTGCTATTGCTATTGCTATTCAGCTGCTGGAGGGGTCTGCGGCCGACAGGCCACAACAAGTATTTAATTGATGTCGGTACCCCTGCTTGCGAATCTGGTTTTGGGGGTTGTCTTCCATTTCCAAAGCTCCAGCATCAGAAAAGCCAGTATTAACCATGATTCAAAGCTTACACAAATGTAAGGGATAACTCTGGCCAAGGTTGTTAAAATGAGTGGATCCAGTTATTAGTTGACCTGGTGAATCTATCATGTCCTTTGGAATAATTTTTTAAAACATTCTCTTCAAAGTTCATAGCTTTATTTATGCGGTGGCACAGCTCAGCCACTAGAGGGCAGCATTTGGGCCCTTAAGAAAGGCAGAGGCCAACCTGAGCCAATTTTTCTGTCTTTGCTAGTAGGGATTATTTTAGTGGGGCTGTTTTTCCTGGTGTTTTTGCCTTTTGGGTGTGTATGTTTTTTTTCTTATTTATTTATTTCAAACCGAACCAGGAGCAACAGCTAAAACCTACATGCAAACATTTTCCCACGGGTGCAATGCTGGGACTCAACCGCCAGAGGGCAGAATTTCTCAGCCTTTTAAACAAGCTCCATCACTTCTGGTGCAATGACCAATAGCAGCCACCAGAGGGCAGTCTGTTTTTTTCTGCCTTTTCTCCTTTTAGATTAGAATGAAGCCCTTTTCCAAGAACATTGTAATGGCCTGTCTCAGCCACCAGAGGGCAGCGTATTTACCGTCCTTTGGAATGCACAGATTTTTGAGAAGGAACTCTTGCAATAGCCAACCTCAACCACCAGACGGCGGACATTTGCAATATACATCCATAATCTTATTTGCAAAATATAATAAACATCATTTTGGCTGCATTCACACAAATAAGTACTGTGTTTACTTAATGTTAAATGGGACAGACATATAAACTAATGTGTGGCTTGATGTTGATAGCCTGGTTTTTCCTCTTTGCAAAAATAATAGCTGGATTTCCCCGGCGCTTTGAATCCCAAATAACCCATTCCAAAAATCCATTGATCCAAGAAGTAGCAAAATTCAAAATATTGGTCTCCGCAGCTCAGCATGCCTCTATTTTAACGCTTTGCAGGTCTCTCAAATTTTGAGCCATTTTTTTCCAAAGCAGAACTTGCATTTATATTTTTTGTGCAATGCTCGGGCTCGTTTTCCAGAGCAATTCAATCTGTTTCAAAGTTTCTAGCCCTCATGGTTTTAAAGCAAAAGTCTGATCCCAAGGGGAACAATTAAAGGCCAGTTTTCCAGTCCCCCCCACCCCCACATAGCTCAAGCACTGGCTATGAGATTAAAGTATGGAATAGAATAGAAGAATTCTGAATAGAATAGAATGGAATAGAATAGAATAAGAGAATGCTGAATAGAATAGAATAAAATATAAGAGAATAAGAGAATGCAGAATAGAATAGAAATAGAAATAATAGAAATAGAATAGGAATAGTATAGAATAGGAATAGAATAGGAATGGAATGGAATCGAATAGAATAGAATAGAATAGAATTCT